TTGCATCACATTTTCGTAACAATGAAGGCTTTACAGCAGTAACCTTCCCCTCCCCCCTCACATTGAAGTACATTTCCTAGTTAACGTTTTATTGATATAGAACTATGTAATATGAAGTATTGTTCAAGCTTTCCTTCGAAATTTAATGTGGCAGGTGGTGGTACAAAGTTGCCATGGCAGGTGTTTATTTCACATGGTTGTGCACAAATAAGCGTCGAGATCCCAAAAAAAAAAAAAAAACAATGCGTACCATGACACTGTTGCTTCTGGGCACATAAACAACGAGTCATGCCCATTATTTGGCTAGAAAAATCATCGGCGCGTGCTCTACTCCACATAGTGAACATTTCAAGTCTCGATATTAACGACACCATACCAGCACGCATGCATGTAAGTGGCAATTTTTGTCGTCGTGGAACTTTTACTCCGCGTAGCGAAATGCACGAGGTTCCGTGCTGTAGTAGTGTTCACGTCTGCTTTACACGCAGAAGGTCCCCGGTTCGATCCCGGGCGGAACCATGTTATTTTACAATCAAAATATTGCTTGCTATTTGCGTTGTGGAATAATCCAGATTAGACGTCATAATCACTAAATACTAGAAAATTTTGTGTATATTTTCCTACAAATGTTACTTATTCACGTAATTGTGAAAGATGGCTAAGGGCGAATATTAAAAAACAAAAGTTTAAAAACTCTTAATAGTATTTAGAACATATAAAGGTCAATGTGATAAAAACTCTATTATATGATTGTATTCTATCCGTAGCCTATTGTTTTGGTAACTGAATTACCTTATGCATTCAGTAAAGATTGCAATAATTCGCCACAAGTGTAATGGGTAGCCAATCGTAACATTTTTTAACTAAAGGAAACCCTAATTTATTTTTGAGGAGAATTGCCCCAGCGTGCACGCTAGATAAACGTAGTAGAAAAAAGGGTATTATTTCTGAAGGCAAATTAGAAAATTTACGTTCTTAGAGAAGCTGAACATAGAACGGAAAAATTAAGTATCTTTGAAAATTGAATTTTCAAGTATCTATTAACAATTTATTTCAGTATTGTCGCACAGCACTACGAGTATAACAATTCTAGTTTAAATATTTGTAATGTGTACAAACATACTACGTATCCTCCTTAAATTATGAATACCTTCCGCCCCCCTCCCCCACGAATTAAAAACAATTTGTGAGTCTTAAAAAAAATTCCTCAAACATTAGATTTCTTCCATAACAACACTTCCACAGTTAAACAAACGGCCGCCTTTAAACTTAGTCCTTAAAATTAAACTCGGTGTGTAATTTTGCGTGCTGCACATTCCTAAAATCACAAACTAGATTGTTAATGATAGAATGTTGATTTTATTAATAGGTATTTCCAGTATTGGTGATGCGATTTTTAAGTTGGAGCGGTATAGCAAAATATAATTTATGTCATGCCTATTGTTTAATGAGATCTACTCCGATCAACTAAAATTCGTTAAAGTAGTAGGTGTATTATGTAGATACTTATAAATCGGGGTGACGCTACTAGTTACTTTTTGAGATACAAAAAAATACTTTATCCAGTTAAACTATCTCCAAAAATTGACAATGTTGAAAGTTATATATTACTAATTTTAATCAACTCGTATGTTTTTTTAAATACACAAGTTTAGTTGAAATCGTTCTTATATTTACAGAGTTATGTCGTTGGGTAGTTGGCCGTTTAACCAAAATGTCTGATATATGAAGGATCCGTATATTCAGTTTGGTCATTAGAGCTTGATTTGTTTTGAAAATTGGTAGACTGTGTTGAAAAGTTCCTGAGACCTGATCTAATCACCAAAGTGCATTTTTATTTTCTAATGAATTAAGCTAAATTTATTAATTGGATCAACTTCAGTACTGATTAATGAGTAATATTTGCAAAAATACTTTAATATACAACTCAATATTTATATCTACTTTCTGTATATGCTAATTTGGCACAGAAGAATATAACTGCCTTTTGGCTCAATGGTTAGATTAAAACCAAACCTCATTTGATTAAAACCTGGAATGAATTGTGACCAGTATGCCAATTTATATTTCAGTAATTTGTATCCTGATTTACCTATGTCTAGTTGTAAAGTGACAAAATATTTATAGTCCCACAAAACGCTATACAAAAATTTCGTAAACAAAGTTTTGTGAAATATAACATGAAAATACTATCTTAGAAAGATCAATTTTTGGATGCAGTAATTTGCAATACGCCTGAATTATGTAAGCAAAAAACAAACGATTTGATATTTAGTAATAAAATTAAAGTTACTATTTTCAATCATTTATAATTGGCGTTCAGTCTGTTCCGGAATATTCGTTAGTGTGGCCGACCGTATATTCCGTCGTGATAGATTTGGTATTTTTCAAAGAGGCTGTTTCTAAGCTACACTGTTATCACTGTAATTTTTTTTGATAACAGATGATTTCATATTGCAAGACCTGATCGAGTGCGGTTTTCAAAAAAAACTTTACATAATTCAACATAATACTAATTTTTGATAAAACTAATTAATTCCTGCAGTTCATTTTGAATGTACGTAAAACAAATGTAAAGAGAAAGCTGAATAATTTGGTACATTCTGAATGCAGTAAACTCGTGAGGCAAGACTATTCGTATTAACAGAAAGGTTAACCCCATTGTCTTACTTAAAAATGAGCAAGTACATTTAAAGTAACGAGCTGCAACGATTAGCTCAAGAGCTTTTTCAGCAAGGTCGACAGGATAAAACTATTATACAAGCCTTAGCTGCACTAGCTACATACTTGTGAAGTCTTTTCATTCTCACGCAACCCTGTAGCGTCAAGGAATATTTCAGGAGGCACGTCTGTCAAGGTGAGAGTGTTTTTGCCCAGTGTTGCAGTATACTCCCCCGGATTGATTCACCTCATTTCCCCTCGTTTTCTGCAAGGCTAGCGAGGTGCTTGAAGTCTACACCTGGGATGAGGCAATGGGCTCCGCTTTACCACCTGCTTCAAATTAACGTTACATGCACATTAAAATCGACAGTAAAAAATTGAGTAATTGTTAAGAATCATGGCTTTAAAAAAAATCAGATAATGGTTTGTATCGACATTACTAATTGCACGGAACACGAACTTAATAGGGACATCCCGATATTCGTGTATAGGCCTATTAATAAATGTGTTAGGCGACTCACAAGGCGTGTGTATCGCGTGTCGGCTCCCTCCTTCCCCGACCCCTGAGATAATTTCTGCATGAAAATCCAAACTTCACGGATGTTCGAGCTGCTCACGCTCGCTATCTACGAACAACTTGCGTGCCTTGAATCACTGTTTTGTTTTATTTACTCCCCTGCTGGCGCTGAGGACTCTGATCCGGAGCGTAATAATTAGCTACCCTTGAACAGCATTTTTGAGTGCTAGGGGGCTGCGCTTAACATAATTTATACAGGATCACAACTATTAAATACAAAGCAAAAACTATAACCGCAACATATCGTGAAGTTAGGTTTAGTTCGGTTAGGTCTTCTGCACTTGACGCGGCTAAGCATCATATAATGGATGGATGTACCTCCCTGGTGATATGCGGCCCTGCCCCCATAGCTCAGGGACAGGGGCAGGGTGAATGACTTGTAGTGTAAGTAAGGTTCGTGGGTTCACGCCCCAGCCCCTCCGCGGCAGACCTTCAGTTCGCTCGTCACACCGGAAATTTGTCAGCAAGTCGGTCTAACTTGGGCTCGACAACGTCACTTTAATACAATTACAACAACGACAAAAATATATGTATATATTGCTGAAAACTCACATATATAACCCGTTTATTTTCTTCTGATGAGAAGTCTACTAACACTCGTATTTTTGCACAATAATTAGATGAAACATTTTTCAAGGAAATAATCGCGAAGAAACACTCGTACTATCACCTTCCATTTATAAATCGCAAGCATTAATACAGTCAAATTCACAAGGAACACTAAACGTACGCTGCAACCTTCACACATCGGCATATATAGGCTGTTCAAGGTAAGGTGAGCACTTTATAAAGCCCTTCTAAATTTTCCCTTTCATCCTATTTCCATCTCCCTGCTGTTTTTTAATATTGACATTGCAATGATACCAATAAACACAGTGTATACAGAGTGAGTGATCAGCTCTGCGACAAATGGAGAGAGGATGTTCCTGAAATTTCAGTTAGAAAATGTCTGACAACGAACGCCAGGAAACCACTTCTAAGGTCAGGAAACCCTTGTGAAGATTGGGTTGCAATTATGAACTTTATTTAATAGCACTGAAACAGTGTGATATTAAGGGATGAATTTTTGTAAGCATGCCAAACAATTCACTCACTGTAACATGCAAGTACCCATGTTGACCTACCGCATACCCTACATAGTCAAATGGAGGATGCCACCCCTTCAAATAGTGAAAAAAGGGTCTTCGCACATCGCTACATAAATTATGGCCATAGCATGTGAATTACCATTGCAAGACGTAAACAAATGTCCTCTTGGTAAGTAAACCTCCGACGAATGGTTTGCGAGACAATAGACCTCCAAGATATTAAATGCTATGTAATGCTTATCAGCCATTTAATATGTTGGAGATCTGTTTTCTCGCAAACCATTCGTCGGAGGTTTCCTTATCAAGAGGACATTTGTTATCGTCTTGCAATGTTAATTCATAGGCTATGGTCATAATTTACGTAACGATGTACAACGACGCTTTTTTCAGTGGTGTGGTAACCCCACTTTACCGTGTACAGCCTATAACTGTCAAATAAGCGCTAAACGGGTACGGTAAGATTAGCAGTGGATTACATAATGTCAATTCACATTTGTTTCCTTATGAAACTCATATAAAGTGTGATTAGTAATGCCGATGTACGATATTTTCTGGTATTTTCCCGTTTTATAGGAAAAGCAGCGATTCTAACATTTTCTTTGCCCGTAATAACAAGAGGATTTGGTTCACACGATATTGGACACTAACGTTATTAGAACAGTAATATCCAGGAGGGTTCCGTGGTGTAGCGGTTATCACGCGTGTTTTACCCGCAGAAAATCCCCAGTTAGATCCCGGGCGGAACTATGCGTTATTTTACACATTCGAATTTTGTCTGCAGTCTACATTCGGCAAAAACACAGTTTAAAATAATTTTCGTTATTCGCTCTTTCAAAATACATAATTTATAATGCATTTGCAAATTTTACGTAAAGGAAAAGTTTTAAAACACTCGTGTACATTGCTTAGCTCGTAGGTATATACAAATACACACATATGCATATATGAAGTACCTAGCTTTAAATAAATCTGTCAATATATAAATGATATAAATGATTAATGAAACGAATTCTGTGTGTTGAATGGTTTTATAATTTGCTGAAAAGTATGTAAAGGATATATTGATGTAACATCATAAAGTAATTTAAAGTGGGGCTTTTATTTTTAAAATTCGATGAAGTAGGAGAAACTATTTTTACGATTGTGTAGATACTTAAAAATCAGCACAGTTGTTCATAATTGCTCATAATAATTACTAAAAAATTAATTACCTATTGCATTTTAATATAAAAATTATACTGTGGATGCTGCGGAAATATCGCTATTGTTAAAAATATTACTATACCTTTCTAATACCAAAATTTTTACGAATCGGTTATAAAGGAGTATTAAACTAGTGTTTCAATAAATCCGTTATATTCTCACGGTACAATTGTGTCCTCATGAAGGTTAAAAAAATTCAAATTTGTTGTCGTGTAAGTAATTGCCTTTGCGTAATCTTGCGAGTAATTGTGGGTTATGCTATATAAAGTCTAAATATGTTGTTAGTTTTTTTTTCCACTCAATTATAACCAAGAAAATAATTGGTTGGATCAGCTTTAGTAATTAAATACTTAACGTCGTTGAGATCGTCCCAGTTATAACCGTGTTGATGAAGTTACGCAAAAAAAAAAAAAAACTCATAATCATAAGAATATTCTGTAATATCCGTTTCTTTCGAAACGTTGTAAGCCTAAAATCTTTAAGCATTGAAGGCGTTGTATATGAACACGCTTGGTTTAAATTAGGTGAATGGTTTCAGACAAGCAGTGTAATTATTCTACCACAAAAATTTAAATCGCAACCGTTTTGTAAGAAGTTCGGACGTAACAATAAATACCAAATGTATTCTTGAACTTAATTTATATAATTGTGTACCAAGTTTAATGGGAATTGCACTACTATCTTCGATGTTACTATGAAAATGATGATTAAAACTGCAGTGGAAAGGATAATAATTTATGCACTTTGTAGTTAATGCGTGAATACTGTGTATTCAGGGATATGTAGGTCAGGGTTGGGATTTTGGTGTCCAATCGTGGCCCTCACAGCTATAGGCCCCTTTAACCGTAATGATTATATATTTTTTTTTTGTGCGTGTGGGTGTGTGTGTATATATAAACAGAAAAGCTTAAGAGTTCGCAGAAGTGAAGTTAGGACAAATGGGATATGATAAATGCAAAGAAGGAAAGGTAAATAATGAGATGTGATGTTAAGTTTGGTTAATTTTTCACTCTTGCATAATTTCCTATTTACAGAGGCAGTGGATAAACTTTAAAAGCCAATTTGAATGTAAAAATAAGAAAATTTTCTCAAGGTTTTTCTGTACCGCAATACCTCCTGGTTGCCTCCCCCCCCCCCCGACAACCAATAAAAAAGTCTTTCTACATTAAAAAATCAATATCAAGTCTGGACAAGTCTACATTCACCATTGTTTCCAACGGAGGCTTCTAACCTTCCAGTCTGTTCCTGGCCTGATAAAAATCGGCAAAATTCTTCAATGGATGTTATATTTATTGTACAATATTAGTAAAGTAGTTAGAAGAAGTTAGGAGCGTAAATGACAAACCAGAATATTATCAGCAGTCCATATCTTAAATTTATTTATATTTGTACACTGAACAATTAGGAAATAGGTTGAGTTGTTGTAACCTGTACAAATTATAGTTAAAAAATAAATAAAACATACAGTGATGAAATCGTTAAGTCAGTTCCTATACAAGGAACTATAGATTTACTAATTTTTGTTTGTAGATGCCTAACATGTCCATGTATAGGCTGATGATAACATACATCAAATACCACTATTACGAATAAATGTCTATTTTATTGCAATTCTGGATTTTTACGGTTTTTTCCATCGCATAAATTGAGACTCAAACTGAATGTAAACAAAACAATAATCCCAGTCATTTTCAGGATGCGTAATTTAATTGTACATTTTTTAAAGTATAATAAAATGGTAAGGAAGTCGGTGATTTGTCTACACAGAACAGGTCTCACGTCTTGAATACATCTTGAAGATGTCCTCCATGACAGTAAAGTAATTCTCCTTACAAATTTCACGTGCAACTTTTCCGGAAGATATTGTGCTCTGTGTAGTAAATGCAAATTTATTTTTTAGCTTCACTGAATTACATTCATACCGAATTCAGTGGTAACTGGAGCATTAGTCTCCCACAAACAGTAAAAGAGAAATTTAATTTTTTTTGGTGTTATATTATTAACTCAGCGAAAGAAAATTATAATAGATATGTATGGCCATTCTAGTTAATACTTGATAAAAATTATTAATACAACTATCATAAAAAAATTAAGTGATAAATTAAATAAAAAGATTCAATAACGCGTGTGTTAAGTTTCTCTGCGTATTCATTGAACATATTGGAAATCTGGAAGTAATTTGAGTAGTTGGACGATATGAGGAAGTGTTTTAATAACTATATATATATATATATATATATATATACAGTATACTACAAAAAAAAATTAGAAAGCGTAGGCAGTTGTAGGAGATGGTGAAATAAATTGTTTCACAACTTAATAATTTTGATTTGTATTTGCCTAACTCATTAATATTTATGACCTATCATGGTGTTGATCAAATATTATGATTAAAAACTAATTAAAAAAATTGGACATATATATATTTTTTTTTTCAATTGCTTTCGTTGAATGTCAGATGAACTGGGAATCGTACAATCATTTCTGTCAGGTAATATTCTTGTATACATTTTTGGGGGATATTATTTTTCATACCATCGTTCTATTTACAGAATTAGTGCTTTTACGAAATTTTTTCAGAGTTCCTGTTTTCAATTAAATTGTGCACTAGTTCAAGATCATGACATTCCTCCCAAAATGGTTGGTAAAGCTTTCTTTCCGAAAATACGTTCCTGATAAATTAACGTTAACCAAAATTTAAATTGGTGTGAATCAGTCAATTGCTGGGGGTTACATACATAAGCTTAATTTTACACGTTGATCTAACTTCCAAAATGAAAGCTGAATAAATCAATTTAAGTGTGATTTTAATGCCAGGAAAACGAGTTTGGTCGAAATCGGGATTGTATTTAAAGAGTTTTGTCGTATGAGCCTGTTTGCCTGTACATCCATAGGTTGGCGATTACGAAGATAAACTCCTGAACGACGAATATACCATAACACTACTTTATTCCATGAAATTCTTTGTTTGACAAACTTAATGACAATATGTTCGAATTACGCGATACAAATCCCTTCTATTAATAAAAGAAGTTAAACATGGTCTCAATAAATTCCAGCAATACTAAGTTAAAAACATTATTACTAATAATATGATTTTTTTATAAAGTTATTATATTAGCAAAAAGTCTTCACTATAGCTACATTGCCAAAACAATCTCAGATCAAATCAAAACAGCGCGAAACAGTATATGAAAGGAACAGAAAAAATGTGGTTTTTAATCAAAATAAATTTAAGTCACTGGAACGATGATAACCCAGTTTAAAAATGTCGCTGAGGATTCTAATGAATATTTTACATGTGGTAGAAAATCATTATAAGTTAAACTGTAATTCAACATCCAGCAACTATTCAAAAATAGTAACAAAATTTGTCGGGATATATTTGACAATTATTTATTTTACTCTTACTAGAATTAAAGATATTTAAAACATCGCGCGGTCTCTTAAAAATAAAAGTAATTCTGGATACGGTGGTATTAACAGTATGCAACTAAAATTGTGCACAACAGTAATAAGTTTACTTCTAAGTCACATACGCCACAGTATTAAAGAGACTGGGCTATTCTGTGATAAATTAAAATTTGCAATAGTGAAGTCAAGATTCAAGAGAGTCATTAAATCTGTTATTTCTAACAGACCAGTATTTTTATTACCTAAGTTAAAAAAAAATTGATGGATGAAATATTATTTTTAATAATTTTAGAGCACTTAGCTTAGTACAATACTTCTGCCCAATTCGGGTTAAGGAAAAATATGTTTGCCCGTATTGCATGTCACAGGCTGATAAACGAAATTTTGAGTAAACTTAATAAAAGTAAACACAAAATAGCTGTTTTCTGTGACCTTCGACTATAACAACCATAAGATTTATTCACAGTAAGGTGAAAACAATCAGTATCAGAGTGTGGACTATATAATGGGGTGCCACAGGTTTCAATTTTGGGACTAATAACGTGTGTGTGTGTATATATATATATATACATAAGTGTGTTTGTTTGTTTATTTGTTTGTCCTTCTTTCTCGTCAAAACGGACGGAGCAACGGATCGACGTAATTTTTTGCACAGAGATAGTTGAAGGGCCGAAGAGTGACATAGGTTACTTTTTATACCGGGAAAATATCTCATTCTTTAAGGAAAATTTTTATAGTAATTTAAAAAAGTACACATATTAAATTACATTACAACGTCACAACAGAGCAACAAATCGTCGTATTTTTTGCACACAGTTAGTTGGTGGGCTTGGAAATGACATGGACTACATTAAATAGTCAACCAAATTAATTCTGAGATTTTGAAAGATGTACAAGGAGAAATAACGGAGTATGTGTCAGTAGACACAGTCATGAACACAGAACAGAGCATTACATATCCTGTAGATTTACCGAATTCTCTACAGTTGTAAGGTGGGCCCTCACATAAGATCCAATTAAAATTAGACGTTCCGGTCATGCTTATGCGAAATTTAGATGCACCGCGACTATGTAACGCGAAGAGGCTTAGTGTCACGAAACTTCATTATTTATCCCTATAAACACGCGCG